CTCCCAGCATCAGCAGACAGCCTGCGCGGCGAGAGGCAGCAGAGAGGACACAGCTCCCTCACCACGTCTGACAGGGAGAGAGCCGCCTGCCCCACTGGACCCCAGGGACAGGTCCACGCCAGCTCTCCAGGTAAGGAAGCTGGGTGGACTTTTGTAAAACAATTTTAAAAATATGAATAATTTGTGTGTATGTGTGTGTGTCTGTAAGTGTGTGGGTGTGTGTGTGTCTGTGAGTGTATGTGTGTGTCTGTGAGAGTGTGTGTCTGTGAGGGTATGTGTGTGTCGGAGTGTGTGTGTCTGAGTGTGTGTGTTTGTGAGTGTATGTGTGTGTGTCTGTGAGTGTGTGTCTGTGAGTGTGTGTGTCTAAATGTATGTGTGTGTGTCTGTGAGTGTATGTGTGTCTGTGAGTGTATGTGTGTGTGTCTGAGTGTATGTGTGTGTCTGTGAGTGTGTGTGTTTATGTGTGCACCTGAGTGTGTGTGTGTGTTTGTATATGCATACGAGTGTACTTGTTTTTTTTTATTTTTTAGGTGGGTGGGGGGAGATGGTGGAACTTGGGGTGAGTTCCCACACTTTATTCCCCAGGACTTGACCCCTGAGTCACTACATCCACCTTTTCTCTGTCCCAGAGTATATACCAGGAGATTTTGCCTGCTAGTAAGAAGGGAAGGAGACAAGTGGACATGTGAGTGCTAGGGGACAGATCTTAGAAAGCTTGGAGCAAGCGCATCATTGGACACATTTATGCCAAGCTCAGGATGCTGTTGGCCAGCATGCATGATTGGCAGGCAGCCTGACATGCATTCATGCCAGGCTAGCCTTCCAATTCTTTGGGCAGACACGCCTCCTTTTTGGGCATGTTTGTCCCTTTTCGGAAGTTCTGGTTATATGATCCACGCCAGTGGCCCACCCTATTACACCGCCCATTGACTTCCTGCTTCACTGGACACTGGTGTTAGGGGGGGGTATGGATTTACTTGAAAGGTGAAAGCATGAATTAGAGACAGATTAGCATATTTTAAGATAATCTGAGTTTTCTTATAGCTGCATCCTATGAGTTTCCCTTCCGCAACATCTCCACCAGATACATAACGCTTGAGAGGTATGACTGTTTTAGTGTTTTTGGTCGATAAGATTCTGTACTTAGGCCCTTCATAATTGTCAGCACCAGGCCCACTGGGCTCTTAATCTGGCCCTGCCTATGAGCATCTTCTCTTTGCTCACACCCGTAGTGAAACTGCTTCTACAGAGGTACATTTTATAAATAATTAGAGATGAGCGAACCCGAACTGTAAAGTTCGGGTTTGTACCGAACATTAAGATTTTTGACCCCAAACCCGGACATATTAGTAACAGTTCGGGTTCGAGTTCGGTGTTCGGTGTTCGGCGATTTAATGGCGCGTTTTGAAAAGCTGCAGGGCAGCCAATCAACAAGCGTTTGACTTGTGTGCCCTTAGAAGCCATCACAGCCATGCCTACTAATGGCATGACTGTGATTGGCCAGTGCAGCATGTGACCCAGCCTCTATATAAGCTGGAGTCACATGAGCTCTTATAAGTGTAGGGAGAGGATGCTGCAGCTGTGAGGGACAGACTAGGAAAGAATTCTGGTGTTGAATCTGCAAACTACAACGATTATTTTTGTGAGTGCTATACTACATTTTTGTACCCTGCCCTGAGCCCAGTGCCACAGAGAAATAAGCAATCAGTCTGTTTGTTAGGTGGGCACTTGCAACTGCATGTGTGCCAGGCACATTACTTTAATCCTGTTCTGGTAGCTCAGTGGGCAACATCTAGGCATTTTTAAATACTGCTGTGACATTGCAGTTTGGCAAATTCACATTTTTTTTGGTGCTAAATTGTACATTTGCGAACTGCGGTGCATTTCTTGCAGTCCAATAAAACCCTTAAATACTACTGTTACATTGTTGGTTTAAAAAATCACACTTTTTTTGTGCTAAATAGAACATTTGCGGCCTGCTGTCCATTTCTTGCAGTCCAAAAAAACCCTTAAATACTACTGTTACATTGTTGGTTTAAAAAAATCACACTTTTTTGTGCTAAATAGTACATTTGCAGCCTGCGGTGCATTTCTTGCAGTCCAATAAAACCCTTAAATACGTTGCATTGTTGGTTTAAAAAAAATCACACTTTTTTATGCTAAATAGAACATTTGCGGCCTGCGGTGCATTTTTTGCAGTCCAAAAAAAAACCTTAAATACTACTGTTACATTGTTGTTTGAGAAATTCACAATTTTTGAGACAGTGAAGTAACTGTATTAATTACGCCTGTCACACTGAGGAGGAGGAGAAAGAGGAGGAGGAACCGTGTTCACAGCAGGGTGGCACCCAACGCAGCTCGTGGGCATCACTGGAGCGTGGCTGGGGGGATACGGAGGACACAGACAATACACCTTCCACAGAGGACAACTTGTCCTTGCCTCTGGGCAGCCTGGCACACATGAGCGACTACATGCTGCAGTGCCTGTGCAACGACTGCCGAGTTGCCCACATTCTAATTTGTGCTGATTACTGGGTAGCTACCCTGCTGGATCCCCGTTACAAGGACAACATGCCGTCCTTAATTCCCTCACTGGAGCGTGATTGGAAGATGCGCGACTACAAGCACACGCTGCTGAGGGCATTCCCAACTGACACCGGGGGCTCAGTGGAAGCACAAGGTGAAGGCAGAGGAGGAGGAAGCGGTCTCCAATGCAGCTGGGTCACCACCAGCACCTTAGAAGGCAGGGTTAGCATGGCCGAAATGTGGAAAACTTTGTCAGCACGCCACAACAACCAGCACCACCAGCTGATATGGAACGTCTTAGCAGGAGGCAGCATTTCAGCAACATGGTGGAACAGTACGTGTGCACAGGCCTACACATATTGACTGATGGGTCTGCCCCATTCAACTTCTGGGTCTCCAAATTGGGCAAATGGCCTGAGCTTGCTCTTTATGCCTTGGAGGTGCTGGCCTGCCCTGCAGCCAGTGTATTGTCTGCGCAGCCGCCTGTCCACAGCCAACGTGGACAAGCTCACGTTTATTAAAATGAACCAGGCATGGATCCCACCAGACTTGTCTGTACCTTGTGCAGAATAGACATTTATACCAGCCTCACGCAGCCATTGCTATACTCAAGTGCACTTATTCTTTGTTTTCTTTTTTTATATGTCCCAATATTTTGGGGGCTACCCCAATTGTTTGCAGGGCACTTGTCCTACTCTTACCCCCATTTTACTTCCTTTTGCAGCCCTCTAGCCCTTTCCAGGACTTTTTAAGAGCCATTTTAGTGCCCAAAAGTTCGGGTCCCCACTGACTTCAGTGGGGTTCGGGGTTAAGTTCGGGTCAAGTTCGAGGCCGAACTCGAACTTTTTGTCGATGCTTGGCCGAACCCGGCGAACCCAAACATCCAGGTGTCCGCTCAACTCTATAAATAATACATTGTGTTTATGTATCATGACTCATCAACCCGCACCCTGCTCCAGCAAGGACAAAGTTAAAGAAAACATTACTAAAGCAAGTTAATCGACCATTTAACCTGCATCTAGTGCCTAACGGGTTACAGTAGTCCTGCAGCAAGGCATTTCTGTACTCACACTGGCCCAGCATTGACATGATACTCATCAAATCCTGCAACAGAATGGTTTGGTTTACTGGGCTCAGTACTCACAATTAAACACACTGATACAGTATGGAAAGGCTTCACAAACTATTCAGCATAGAGAGGGTTACTTGCTTTCACACACACACTAATCCACAATCGAACAGGTTGACTTTTCTCCAAATGATCCAGTACTGAATGGGTTATTGAATAACCCTAGCTACAGCGGAGAAATGGATGCAGGACAGAAAGTAAAAGGTTAAAATACACAATGACGCAAACTGGACATAGTTACTGCACTTACAGTAGAACAGGGGCTAATGGAACCACATTGACATGGCATGTAAGGGGTTACAACACACACTGCTCCTGTATGGGTTATTGAACGCACTCTCGTCCAGTATAAATCATATTAATGCACACAACGCTCCTGCAGAGTAGTGATAACTACAGACAAACTGCTTCAGTTTTGAAGGGTTTATTGAATGAGAACTGCTCCAATACGGACTGGTTTATTTTACAAACTGGTACAGTACAGGAGGGGTTACTGGGTGCACACTATTCCATCACAGAAGACTTTTATTCCAGCACTGCAACAGTATAAAAGCAGTTATTGAACACAGTCTGCTTCTAAACAGAGTTAATACACTGACTGATCCAGCATGGAAGGGATTACTGTGTGTAACAGTCGATTTGATGCATTAAGATGTTTAGGGGTTACAGAGCCATTGTGGGTCCCTGGGAGATATGTCTTTGTAAAATTCTTAGTGAAATATGGAAATACTGTATTTTCTAGATGAAACTAACTCGTTAAGATAATTCACTCTGTGAGGTCAACTTTTGCACTCCAATATGACCACCCTTTAGTCTATACGCAGCATTTAGTGTCAGACCATGCACGTTGAGACACAGTAAACGCTTTCTCTGTAGGGAAAATACTTTTGTGTTAAATTAAATTTTTCTTTATTGTGCTGTTAATTAACTTTGTATTAGAGTGAAGCACAGTTCTCGAGTCTCGTCATTTAGGTTGAGTCGGGGTATCTCTGTACTTTTCCCGTCTGTGGGGGTCCGCTGCTCCCTGCGTGTCTCGGTGTATGTGGTATAATCCCTGGTAGTACTGAAGGAATGCCACAGAGATTTGGTCAGGGAGATGCTGGATTTGTTGCCTGGAGTCTTTGATTTTTGGTATATACAGATGTGTCCTTCGTTGTTTTAGGAGGTCCGCGAGTAGCCTGCAGCATTTGTTCCCATGTTTGTAGATCATGTGTTAAAAGTGCTGGCATGAACGTTGGATTGAACGATTCAGGAGTGTGCAGAGTTGGCCTTGTTTGAGCAGAAGGTCCTGGTATATCTTTTTGTCCAGTGTGTGCTTGTGTCAAGACTCTAAGGTTGCAATTTCTCAGCTGAGGTCCAGGATCGCTTGCATCAATTCCTTCTTGCGCTTTGAGCAGACCGCTATGTAGTACCTGCGGATGACCGCTTTGTGGGCATCCCAGCACATCAGGGGAGTAGTGTCTCCCATCTCGTTGTCAGCAATGTAATCCTGCAGGGTCTTTCTTGCCGTTTCCATCATCAGTGTGTCTGACAGGATGGATTCGTTCAGGTGCCACGAAGATTGGTGGGGCCGGAACAGGGGAGTGCGTACCCGCAGGTGGAGGGGGCAATGGTCTGACCATGTCATCGGTAGGAGTTACGACTGTACGAGAAAGATCAGGTTGCAGTGGGGCACAAGGAAATAGTCTAACCTCGTGTATGTTGTATGTGTCGTAGAATAAAAGGTATAGTCCCTTGGGTGTAATGCTCTCCAGCAGTGAGCGAGCTGGTGGTGGTGTAGAAGGAGGAAGGTCTTGGCGTATCTGTTGTGCGGGCTTGCCCTTGGTCGGGTGGTGGATTCCTGGGCGGGGTGTAACGCCAGGATTAGGACCCCCTCTGCAAATTTCATCAGGGTGTTGAGCGTGGTACCTGGTGGGGGATACTTTTGTATTCGCATGAGAAAGTGACGTATTTTCTCTTTTATATGTTTGTAGAAATTAAAGGGACACTCTGAGCACCAATATGACCTAAATACAATTGACAGTTTTAGCCTCCTATTTATGCTGTGATTTTCTCAAAGTTCAAATCTCTTTAGTTTTAGGGTTGTTTTTTTTTTTTTAAGAAATGTTTACTTTTTTATCTGCAGCTTAACTCCATCTTTTTAGAGACTTTTCCCTTTTAAACAAAAAGTCCTCCAGGTTGGTCGGTAAATCTCCAATGGCCAAGGAAAGATCAATATGACCGGAACTGCTGACTCTACTCTCAGCCATTCACTGGTTACTTATTATCTGCATTTCAAAGCAATACGAAGAGGAAAGGAGACAAATTGTGGAAACATAGCATGAATAAACAAACAAATGCACTTAAAGGGACACTATAGTCACCAAAACAACTTTTGCTTAACAAAGCAGTTTTGTTGTATAGATCATGCCTCTGTAGTCTCACTGCTCAATTATCTGCCGTTTAGGAGTTAAATCACTTTGCTTATGCACCCTAGTCACACCTCCCTGCATGTGACTTACACAGCCTTCTTAAATACTTCCTGTAAAGAGTCATCTTGTATGTGATTAAAGTTAAATTTACAGAGCAGGAGATAGAAAAACTTTTAAAGAAAGTTATTAAAAATGAAACAATTTTTTTCATGCAAGCTGTGTCAGTCCCAGTCAGGGTTGTGTGGCTAGGGCTGCATAAGCAGAAACAAACATGATTTAACTCCTAAATGGCAGAGAATTAAGCAGTGAGACTGCAGGGGCATGATCAATACACCCACACTGCTCATTAAGTTTAAGTTTTTTTGGTGACTTTAGTGTCCCTTTAAGTTGTGCTGGTGCCTAGAAGATAACTGGAGTATCATTTTAAATAGCCAAACAGCAGGAAAATAATAGTTTTTTTGGAATCTCAGCAACTTCCTGGTCACTGCAAAAGCTGCAGAGAACAAGAATGTTAGGATAAGTACCTGCTTTATTTTAATATTTTTACACCTTTTTGTATGCATGAATTTAAAAAAAATACATTACAAAAAAAATGGAGGAGGGGTTAACTCTTACCGTGAGTGTCCCTTTTGGTTATGGGAAATGGCCAAAGATTAAGATGAATGTTAACTGTTCGACTCTACAAGACACATTGTTATGAAAGTTGTCCTGTGATTCAGAGTCCCTCAGCTGTGATTCAGTGTTTTTGGGGTGTTAATCAGATTTGCCCTAATCTTTGCAACTCTTTGAAGCAAAGTACTTTGTACACTGGAAGATTCCCAGACAGGAAAGTCATAATTTTGTCCAATGTGCTTCTGACGCACAGTGAGATTGATGGACACATCACCATGAAACTATGAGAGAGGTGCTGTATGCTCTGCTGATAACAAAATCCATTTGAAGCTGCAGAGCAAAACATTTCACAAAGTATTTACATATAGAACTCTTCGATGGCTCCAAATATTCTTGATAAACAACCAAGGATTAGATTCTTCCATCTGAATCTGGATGTCTCACTGCTCACTGGGATTAGAACATCTCATTTTTTTCTGACTTGGCTTTCGTACGATGTCTGCTTTGCAACCAATCGTCTGTACCAACATGACCTTGAAAGAAAATGTTTGGGGCCCATCACAGCCAGTTCTTCAATCCCTACATGCATCATAACTGTATGTACTGCCAGATCAGAGCTGGCAGACAGGAGGGGAAGGGTCTTTTATGAAGTGTTCTACTCCGGGGGGCTGTAATCTGCCTATGAACTTAATATAACTGTAACAATTTATAAAACATTCTATGGGTCTGTTTGTTAAAAGCAACACTGTCACTACAAAAAAAAAGAAAATAAATTTCATTACAACATATTAAGGAAGAAATCACACACAAAAAAAAAATGGTATATTGCGTTAAATGCAAAAAAAGTGGCAGTTTTCAAGACGTAAATATACCATTTTAACCAAACTGCTTACAAGAAAAAAAAAAAGACTTTTATCTAAGCCATCTCTTGCTATGCGGAGTCAAGCACCCATGATAAAAAGTGATTAGCCAATCAAAAACATGCAAGACGAAAAGTATTATTTGTAAGTTGTGAGAATTATCTAGTGGCTTATTTATGCACTTTTTATCTATGCTAATATTACCTTATTTGAGTCATCACATCATGGCGTTTTAAAATGCAACCTATTTAGTCCATTGATGAATGTATGGCTGGGGGCAGCTAATTTGCCTATATCACTGGGTGATTTCGGTTTGTGTTTTATTGTGCATTTTGTATCTTCAGCCCTTCTTTGGGTTTTTTACTTTGTATTGTGTTTTGTGAATCATGTATATTTAATTTTGTATGTTTTCCTTGTTAATTTTATGGGTGAGTGGAGTGTGCATATGGCCACTCACCTGTGTGTATGTACATGCAAGCATATCAACACAATATAATACAGATATGCTGGCAATGGCAAGGGTAAGGGAGCTGACCCAGATTGGAGGGCAGAGTGTTCTAAAGATCTTTATGCATGATTTCTCCTCCCTTTGCTTGTTCTCTCAGAGCTGCCCTGTTTTGCAGCTGGCCAGGTAGGCATCAGGTTGGTAGCTGGCCAGGTAGGCTGCAGGTAGGTAGCTGGCCAGGTAGGTATCTGGTCAGGTAGGCAGCAGGTAGGTAGCTGGTCAGGTAGGCAGCAGGTAGGTAGCTGGCCATGTTGGCAGCAGATAGGTAGCTGGCCAGGTAGGCAGCAGGTAGGTAGCTGGCCAGGTAGGCCGCAGGTAGGTAGCTGGCCAGGTAGGCAGCAGTGTTTTATCTACATCACTGATTATCCAGCACTCTGATATTCACTCATCAGAACTTCAGAGGCTGCCTAATGTCAATTCTGTGCAAATATTAACAGCAAAAATGTATTTGAGAAGCATTTGATTACACCACGTAACAGAGACTGTGAAGTTGGATGATGTGTGGTGAGGAGCACTGGACGCTTCTCCCAGAGCTGGATTCAAGTCAAGGTTTACCTTATCTCACTGCTTTATAACGTAATTAGAAAAGCCAGATTAGGCGTTTAAATTTGAAAGATTATACATTTTAAAAAGGGTAGCCCTTTAACTCCTTTAGTATACTAGGATAGAAGGGTTGCATGGTCTCCATTGAGTATAAGCACTATAGTGAGTGAGGAGGCTCCAGAGAGATACTAGAAAAGCACGAACTCTCTTCCTCACTCTATAAAAATGTGGTTTTCCTCTTAAATTTGCGTAATCTGCTAAATATTTATTGTTACATAACTGTGGTGTTTTTCATGGCATGATGACATCTCGCAATGTAACATAGTTGCCAGATATGAAATGATTGCCTAAAAATAAACCTGTATTTATACCGGGAGGAACAATTGGTTCCATTGTACTCACGGGGTCCTAAACCTTGAGGTTTTCACTTCATTCATGTTGTCAGTAAATGTTTCCTGTCGTGGGTTCTTTAGTGGAATGAGACGATCTTTCAGCTAATTGATAACATGGCTTCCATTCCTTGGATCAGTCTAGATGGCAGCGTCAATACACATAGACTATTTTAATATGGTCCGGTCTCTCCTCCTGCCCTTGTTGTGGAGAGTAACCGAATTGGCCTCAAACCTCATTCTAATCTTAAGGGGGAGGGATGCAAATGTATCAACATTTACATAACTGGCCTGAAAATGATTTTCCTTTAACTCTCTCACTAACAACATACACAAAATTTGTGTAGGAAGACTTATTATAGAACTTTATATGGGCCATTTGTTTAGTAGTAACTACGTTGTATTCATATACTGCAAGACTGCAAATTGGTTAGAGAACCACAAGTGGGTCCCAGCCCTGCACGTTTAGTGGTGCCACAGTCAGGAAAAAGATGCTAACAAATGCTAATGCCAGTCATTGATTCTGGGGATGTCGTGTATGCACCCGCACAGCATACCCACCATAATAAACGTAATACTTCTATAATTCATTCTGCCGCTTTGTACTAGAATGTAATTACTTTACCCACCACTGTGACATGTTAAAAGAGCTAAACTGGCTGTCGCTGGAATCCAGATGCACTTTTCATCTTTCCAGTCTTGTGTTTAAGAGCATTTCTGGGAAGCTTCCACCCTACCTGAGTAGAATGATCACCCCGGCTGTTCCCACCTCCTACAACCTCCGATCCAGTACCAACACTTTATTTAGTATACCGCAATTCTAAAATAAAGTGGCACAATCCTCATTTTCCTACAGAGCACCGCATTTATGGAATGACCTCATAGAGACAGTCAAATCTTCCTCCAGTCTAAAATCCTTTAAGAGATCCCTATCAGCATACCTCAATACAGAATGCACCTGTCTTGGTTGATTATATTTCTTACCTGTTCTGTGTTAAATGTGTGTGTGTGTGTGTGTGTATATATATATATATATATATATATATAGTTTGTATATTGTATTTTTTTTAATATTGTATCCTATTGTAACAATGCAATGATTTGTGGACCCAGAACATACTTGAAAACGAGAGAAATCTCAATGTATCCATCCTGGTAAAATATTTTATAAATAAATAAAATAAATAAACATTTAAAAGTGCTTCAGTGCAGTAATTAATACTGCAGAAAATGATATTAGAAACCACATATGTATTGTATAGTTTAAAAGGTGAAAATGCAAGTGCAGGACAAGATACAAATGTTAT